CACTGGAACAGAGGAAGAGAATTTGTGACTAAAGCACAGTATATTTTTTCAGAGTAAGATGTTACAGTTCCTGAAGTAAATCATTATGGAATTATGTACAAAAACCAAAGGTTTGTTAATTTGGTTTAGTTTATAGATACCTGCTACTGTATTTTGACAAATGAGCAAATACTTCTGGAACTATCTTTCTATCCAAAATGTTGTCTCCCACTCAGCCATTTGCACTGCACTAATAGTCCAGTCTGATTTTGCAGACATGAGGACACTTGTTTGTAAGAGGTATTGAGCTGTGCTTGGTGTCATGCTGTAAGGACTTCTGATCAGACTGTGCATCACTGGATCTGCAAGCTACAGAACTGAAAAAGCTTTGCCTGCTCAAGTTCCTGGTTTCTTAGACTCTTCTTCATGCTTTTCAATATAAACACATGCAGTTTTAAGTACTTCTTCTCCAATAAAACTGCATATTCTTACATTACCATATTAATAATAATCTCACATCAGACATCTGCAGGTTCTTCATCTGCAAAAGAAATTATGGATCAGCACATTCTGCAGGATTCAAGGTAGTCATTCCTTAGATAGCACAATCTGTGAGGGAAAGCACAGTGACAACACCTCTCCCCAAACCTCTCTGGTAGTGGAAGGACAGAGAAAGAGGGAGAATAAAGAAGGTAGCTGGAACAATGAGCCTGTGAAACTGCAGTGACTTCCAGTGACAACATATTTCATCTTAAATGTCTTTTGTTCCATTGCAATTAGAAAGAGTCAAATTGCAGAGAGCACATTCTGAGCAGTACATCCTTGCATATATAAATCTTTCTTTGTAACAGATGCTCTGAAATTCCTTTCAGAACTGAGATATTGCACTACAGAAACACAGGTCTACTACAGAAGTGTATTTCTACACTGTGTGCTCAACTAAAGCTTCCTTTACTAAAATCCAGAAGGGAGTATCACCAAAAATGGTATAGCATTACACTACCCCATATGGATCTCAACCCATTGACTGCACTTTTAAAAATAAGCCTAACTATGCCTTAGTCGAAGTAAATTACCCCTAAAATAAAACTGTTCAATAACCCCAATCTCTGCAGTGTCAGGTAACACTCAAAGTCTTCTCACTACCACAAAAAATAAACCACATGCAGACCAAAGCAGCCAGAAATACCTTGTCTGGAACCATGACCAACTTTGAGAAGCACTACCACTCAATACACTATGGATAAAAAGCTGGGTAAATGCATTTTAGCTCACCCATTTTTATATACTGCATATTTTCATGACTTGCAAACGTAACTAAGTGAAATTTTGCTCCTAGTTTTCTCTATGTCAAGCCAGTTTCTTATCAAGAACTCCAGAGCTGGGAATGGTTTTCTTTGTACCTATGTAATTGCAATTTTAATATTCCCATTCTTCAGAGTCCAAAAAACCCTACAGTTTTGAAAAACCGACAAGCACTGCTACAGTCAGTGACTGATAATTAAGTTCCTCTTTCACCTGTGAAGCACTGCTACAGTCAGTGACTGATAATCAAGTTCCTCTTTCACCTGTGATAATTGAGTCACTCCATTATTCAGGGAGGAGTTGCTTTCAGCCTCTTGTTGCAACTTCTCCACCTTTTTCAAAATGAAATAGTCAACGATTTGAAGTTTATAACTCTTTGACCCACAGACACTTAGTCATTAATATGAAGTATAACAGCTTCAAGAGACATCCACACAGCAGGAGAGCCAGCATCTTGGTAGGGTTTCCTTTTTGCTTGATTTGGAACAGAAACTTACCCTTTAATTTCCCCCAATTCTAACTGCACAGTAGCCCCCACGCTGCTCAGCGTGCTGCAGATGGATCTCTCTTGCTCCCTAAGGTTTTACGTAGAATTTAAATCATGAAGCTGCTAATTGCATACATGAAAACAGAAAGAGCAATCCAGCAAATGCTACGTTGTCCCCATGCTGTGATCCTAGACTCTGTTTTAATTCTTAAAAAGTTACTAAGCTTCACATCAAACTTTCTCCAGATTCCATAGGTAACATCATGAACATTTTGGGGATCTCATTAATGTACTCAAGTACATGAATGGGAAGTGCCAAGAGGATGGATCAGGCTCTGCTCACTTGTGGAAACCAATAAAACAAGAGGGAACAGCAAAAACTGATGCACAGGAAGTTCCACCTAAATACAAGGAAGAACTTCGTTCCTGTGCAGTCACTGAGCACTGAACAGATTGCCCAGAGAGGCTGTGGATTCTCCTCACTGGAGGTATTTATGAACCATATGGACACAATCCTGAGCCATGTGCTCTAGTGGCTCTGCTGGAGTAAAGAGGTTGGACAAGATGACCCATTGTGGTCCCTTCCAACCTAACTGATCCTGTGATTCTGTGAAGCCAAACAGCAAATTTTCCAAAAATATGGGAAATCTTCCAAAACAGACTTTCACCAGGGGTGAAAGCCCTTTAAAATTATTTTTAAGCCCTTAAAAAATAACTCCATGTTTAATGATAGCATTTTACAGAGGGACTTCAGACTCAGACATGCACACAAGACCACAGGGTCTGCAGAAGCCTCCACAAACCTCCAAATTTTTACATATACTAAATTCACAATATTTAAAACAGCCTGAAGGAGTATCTAAGCTAGTAGAGGGAACTCCCTTGTGAAAGACTAGAAAAAGCAGTTTGCCTGAACACTTTGCATGAAGAAATGAGAGCAATAGGAGGAATAGGGAACTGGAAGAGAACAGAGGCTCAGGTTGCTGAGGGACAAGACTGTCCTCAGACAGTGGTGCACCTGCAGCATTCCCTCCATGTCCTGCAGTGCTCTGAGAGAGAATCAGGCTCTTCATGGAGCAGAGATGGAGTGGAGCCTCACTGCAGCTGCAGTAAGAACTGAAGTGTGTGGCTCCCACCACAGCTGCATACAAATCCTCTGGTAGCTTTTCCCAGGGCAGTGGCCTAGGCTGACAGCTTTCATCTCTGGACAGAAATTGATCAAGCAGCACGAAGCATCTACAAGGAAATACACCTGCTGGGCCCCCATCAGGTCACCAAAACCAAGATTATCTGCCTGGACTAAGAAGCAAAACTATTTCACAGCTTTGTTCTGTGTTAAGATGCAAAAACTTGAGAAAACACTAGAGATGAAATTCCACAAATGTTTGAACTGAAGGTGTTAGGAACAATAGTAAAGGAAAAATATTTAGGAATTAATCAACATAATTTATGCTCATTTTCATATTACTGTTTCTAGCACAAAGCTTTTGTATTTACTCTTCACTTCCTATCTTCACATTTTTACCAGTTACCTCCACAGGATGGATGAAAAATAGAGTTCCATCAGCACATTTAATGAAAAACATTTCTTTCAAGCAAGGCACAAAATTTAGATTTATTTATGTAATTTGATTAATCCCAATTCTTGTTTTACATTAAGTACAAAAAAACAACTTGAATGTCGATGTAAATACAATTCCACAAAGTAGTTCAATGAGATTTAAAATCATATCCAGAACTGTTAAGCACAATTAAAAGCAGCCCAGGATATACAGATTGCTTACCATAACTGCTGAAAGAGCTCATAACGTATGAATATATTTAATGACCTCCAACAATAAGTTTTCTCCTTTCTAATCTCTCACTTGAAACACACTTAGCAATTCTGTACCTAACAAAGGAAGCATTAAAGAATAAGAAGTGTAGGTAAGTCTTACTCAAGCTGAGGCCTAACTGAAACACAGACACAATCAAAAATTAAACAACAGAACAATGACTTAAATATTTGGTTTGAACATTTCTAACAACATAAACGCTAAGATAATATAGAAAAATAGCAACAGGTCCCAAGACTTATTAACTTCTCAAAGAATTTATGGTGTACTGTAGCTGCCTCAAATATTTGAACAATTATAGAAAACTCTATTTCCAAGTTTAGTACGTTGGTATTTTCCTAGATGACATACATTTAAGACAATCATCAACGTATTTACAGTTAGAAGCTTATTCCTTTTAAAACCTGTATAAAAAAAAAATTAAAATCAGTTTTGGCACTACCCATAAGGCAATGGATGATATGTACCTAAGATAGCAAATCACAGAACGAAAGCATAACCAGAAGAAAATCATATTAACTTATTATTATAAGCAACTGTGAGACTAAGTATAATTAAAGAGGAAATTAAAGAATCAGCATTTCTAAGTCACTAAAACACTCTATCCAAAATACTGGAGAATCTTGTTAGATGCAATAGGAAATTGCTTTAACCTGTGAAGTCACTGTGCCACATCTTGGGGGAGAACCTGATATTTCTATGGTTATTAAGTTATCAAAATAGTTTTAGTACCAGAAAATAGCAAAAAAGTTTAAGGAAAACATGAATTTACTTCTTCCCTAAGCAGACAAAGATATTACTCTTAAGTTCAGCCTTTGCTAACTGTCTCTTTGACAAACCCCCAAAAGGTGATTTTGCCATTCACTCCACTGAGGAAAGACCACAGCTTCAAACTTCTTTTTATTGATGTGAATAGTTTTAACAACTTCCTTTTTTTTTTTGCATTTCCATCAGCTTCAGTGATAGCTGAACCTTAAACTTCAATTTCCCAGTGTTGCCACATCTGCACTGCAAAGACTCCAAGCCCAGATTTCATCAGCTGTGGATTTCGTTTGAATTTTTCAAAGAATCTTGGCATTTCTCTTAAATTTATAAAAAGATTTTTTGTCCCCAAAGCTTAAGGCAAAAAACAAGTTTTATTGGTTTTGTTCCTTTAAGTCTGAGCAGGTGTATGATGAGGCTGTTTAAATATCAAAAAAGCTAACGCCATGTACAGTATTACCAACAAAAGTAAAGAATAAGGCAGCATGCACCCTTAAGATGAAAAGAAAATTTAATTTTACAAGATGTTTAAATAATCCAAAGGCAAAAAGTGTCTGTCTCCTCTAAGAGTATCTTCATAAAACATGGAAATTTCAGAGGAATGTTTTAGAGGACATCAAGTTACTAAAATATTTCGTTCAACGTTTATACAAATACATTACTACAATTGTAAGTTTACATACAATCAACTGACATCTCAGTGTTAACTAATTACTTAAATTTACAAGACAAACATAAATAAAGCTGTTAAAACAGGCAAGTACAGTACTGATCTATCATTCTGCACAATGTGTTTTGTACTTCTTTCACCTTGAAAAGAATCAGATTAGAATTGTGCGAAGTCAATCTTCAAACCTAAAAACAAAATGAAAGAGAATTAAGTACATCTACGCAGGTTTTACACAGCATGGGCATATTCCAAATGCCTAAGTCCTGTTTTCAGGCATGTAATTTACCATTTAACAACCTTTTGTCTGTTCTCAGAAGAGGCCACAGTCTTTAAGGTTATTTTTAATAATGACATCAGTTACAGCATCGAAAACAAACTGCACATTTTTTGTGTCTGTGGCACACGTGAAGTGAGTGTAGATTTCCTTTGTGTCTTTTCTCTTGTTCAGATCCTCAAACTGACACTGAATGTAAGCAGCTGCTTCTTCATAAGTGTTTGACCCTAGGAAGAGAAAATTGCTCAGTAAGCAGGTTTCAAAAGGAGGAAAAACAAGATGCACACTGTACCTTTGAAGGAAGAGGAGCAATTCTACAGTCATCATAGAATCAGAGAATTTAAGGGTTGGAATGGACCTTACAGATCATCTAGTCCCAACCCCTGCCCTGGGCAGGGACAGCTCCTCACTAGATCAGGTTGCTCAAGGCTCATCCACCCTGGCCTTGAACACCACCAGGGTTGGGGCAGCCACAGCCTCCCTGGGCAACCTGGGACAGTCTCTCACTACCCTTAGAGTAAAGAACTTTTTTTCTCACATCCAACCTAGACTTTCCATTTACTTCAGTTTGAACCTAACCCAATCTAACCCAGTCATTGCTATAAGATACCATTAAAAAAAACCTTGAAGGAAACCTTTTGGATGCACTTGTAAGAATAAAGCACTCAATCCAGCTGGAGAAAAGAGCCTTTCCATTTACTTCAGTGGCAGAGGAAGAAGTCATTAATGACCCATCACTGCTCCCTGGATTAGGGTATTTTGTTTCATAGAATAGAATCACAGAATCAACCAGGTTGGAAAAGACCTCCAAGATCATCAAGTCCAACCCTACCGTGGTCACTAGACCATGGCACTAAGTGCCACATCCAGTCTCAGCTTGAAAACCTCCAGGGATGGTGAATCCACCACCTCCCTGGGCAGCACATTCCAATGCCTGAACACTCTCTCTCTGGAAAAAATCTCTTCCTAAGATCCAACCTAACCCTCCCCTGGCAGAGCTTGAGTCTGTGCCCTCTTGTCCTGCTGCTGGTTGCCTGGGAGAAGAGACCAACCCCCACCTGACTCCAACCTCCTGTCAGGGAGTTGCAGAGGGTGAGAAGGTCTCCCCTGAGCCTCCTCTTCTCCAGGCTGAACACCCCCAGCTCCCTCAGCCTCTCCTCACGGCACTTCTCCATGGCCATCTCCAATGGCTCGAGAAGTTTCTCTCATTCATCTTACTTCAGTCAAGGTTTGGGTTTTTCCCAAACTCAACTAACATTTAGCATATGTAATTTCTCCTAAGCTTTTCACCTCCAACATGCTATTTTCTGTACATTGGAATAGTCTGAAGTTCCAATGAAAATGACACATAAAAAGGCTAAGAGTTTTAAAATGAATTCATCCTCTTTTGTTATGTATTTCCTGAATAATACACCTACTTCAAAAATTATGTTACACTCCCTGTTCAAATAAACTCTCATGTGTCCTCAGGAATTCCTGCTACTGAAAAAAATAAATCTAAGTACAAAAATAGGAGAACGCAGGAGAAAACAATAAGCTAAATAAATTAGCCTGAAGAGCTGCAGCAGAAACATGTAGATATTATCAGGGGACCAGAATTATTTCACCTGGTTCAAAAGATGACTCTGACTTAGCACTATTTTAATTGAGTTCCAGAAAAGCAACTCCCCACCTTCAACTTGATTCCACGTAAATATTTTAGGTGCCTACAGTTATTCAACTCCTCATGATTTGCACATCAAAAATTAGGGGATTTAACAAAACAAACACTTGACACCTGCCCCACCCCCTCCAATACCTGCATATTCAGGGTAGCAAATAGTGAGAGGACTCCTTTTGATTTTTTCTTCAAACAGATCTTTCTTGTTCAGGAAGAGAATAATAGAAGTGTCTGTGAACCATTTGTTGTTGCAGATACTGTCAAACAACTTCATGCTTTCATGCATCCGATTCTGCAATTGGAAACAAACACCTCAGTAGTAAAATCAGGACATCTCATCAGTTACAAAAGAACCAGGTAAGTTGCAAAACTAAGTTTTTTGCATACAGAATCACATTTTACTACAGGGAAATCCAGAGAGGCCAAGACCACCACAAGGAGCACATCCACAGGTAAGGTTTGAGCAACTACTTTTTCTCATTTCCAGGTTTAAGTTGTTTAAAGGTGTAGAAATTTTGAGTGTATTTTGACGATCTGCAGTACAGATATTCTACAAGAATTGCTGAGTTACCTGAATTTGTCTTCATACCAATTAGACCTTCTGGAAATTGAAAATTAAATCCTGCAGCTAGCTGATACTCCAGAATAAGGCAAAAGGTTCTACAGAACTAGAGAATCAGGTAAGCAATTTTTTTTTCCTCTTACCATAATTTTTAAGTCTGTAGAAAAAATTATCCAATATGTAAGTACTTTGGCCAAGTTCCAGTCATTTAAGTAGAAGGATGCTAGCTATGACCTTCTTTGACTACACTTGACTTGAAAGGTTTTATTTCTCTTTTCTCCCCAAATTCTACTTTATAGGAAGTAGCAGAACACAAGGAAGAGCACAGAATTCTGTTAATGATTCACACACAATAGAGAAGCATCACTTCAGAGCACTCAGAGAGCAAAATGCACAGTGACATGGAAGGAGGCAAACCCTGAAAGAGGAGAAAGGAGTAGAGGGGACTGAAAGGGAAAAGGAAGAGAAAAACTTCTGCAACTAAGAAAAGAGATCAGAGGAACACATTCAGAAAGAAACAAAAACTGAAGACTGAGGAAGAAAAGGAAAACAAAAGGTGGTAAAAGTAGATACAAATAAGCAATTTCTTACTACATACTTTGTGCACCCAAAAAGAGACTAAAATGGGTATTACTGACAAGGTTTTCTTATTAATTTGTGTGCCCTTTAAAATATCAAAGTGGAGATTAAAAGAAAACTTGTCTCCTAGTATTCCTCCTGAGAATACGAGGAAATACTTTGAATTTTATCACCATTTCTGAGACCTTTCACACAAAACCCTTATAAGGCAGTAATACTCCAAGAGATCTATTCACAGCTTTCCTTCCAAGCTTATTTAGCCTCTATCCAACAGCTATTCCACTCTCCAACATCATGGTACTTGCCATTTCCTCATCTTCAGCCAAAACCAAGTCATAATCGCTTAGAGCCACACAAAAAATAATTGCTGTAACACCCTCAAAACAATGAATCCACTTCTTCCGCTCTGATCTTTGGCCTCCAACATCAAACATTCTACAAAACACAAGAGCAAAGCAGGCAATGAACTTTGGAATATTAGCCCATAAAATCTGAAAGCATCAGCTGCGAAAGTCTCATCACAACATTTCAAAACAGCATTAACAATCTGCAGCACTATTATTCTTCTCAGTGTAAATTCCAATTTTAGCAAAGCATTCAGAGCCTTCCTGTAAATTTTACAGGACATCAGAAAGGATGAAATGAAAGCTAAACAAAACTCATTATTTACAGTACCATATTTCATTAATGAAGTAAATTGTAATCTATAAAAAATGAAAATACACAAATTTACTAAAAGGTCTAAAATAATAAAAGATATTGACCAACAATGTAAGAGTGGTGTCTGTTTTAAGACTTGGAAATAATGCAGAGCTAAGGAAGCTGAATACAAGTAACACTTTTGAGTAATACTTTATTATTTATCTTTTAGTATTCTGAGTATTAAAGGGTAAAATTAAATTGGAAAAAAATGAAAATTAGGGACTCTCAGTTCTGGTGAGTTTCAGCTCCTCTCTCTTCTAAACCAAATTGCAACTTAAATCTGTTCTACAACTTGCCATGTTCAAATGGGCTATATTTTTAAAGAGATGCTAAAATTATTTTCAAAATTATCGCAACAGACAAAAAACATTACATATAGATGCTAAAATTATTTTCAAAATTATCATAACAGACAAAAAACATTACATATAAAAAAATATTTTCCCTCTAATAAATGCATTTTTTGGATAAGCAATTAAATCTGACATATGACACACTTACTAAAACTGCCCTGTATTTTTTATTATTCCCCTTTCCCATTTTCCCTGAGCTGTAAGATTGCAGGGGTGGGGCAGGTAGATAAAACCTACCACTTTAATATTAGTGTACTACATGACTAGGAAAATTGCACTTGAAGGGATTCAATTACAGTGGTTATTTTTAGAAAACTTCAACTGTTCCAAGCTGCTAGAATTTTATTGGAAAAAAACCACAGTAAAGATAAGTAGAGAAGGAAACAGAAATAAAACAAAGAGCCTTTGCTTTCACATGGAAAACTCTCAAAATCATTGCAATCTCTAACAAAGTCTTCTACTTGGGTATATTATTGTGCAAGTGACAATGCTCATTGCCCAATATTCCACACTGGGATAATGCCATGTCAAAAACACTTGAAAGATTAGTCCTGTTAGAACTTAAAACTGAAAGGATTCCTTAGTTACTTATCTTCAGAGATCTCTTTGAGGGGAAGTCTTTGGATAATCACCCTACAAACATGCAAGTCAGTCACCTACTCCTGCTTAGCTCTCAAGTAATTAGTGATGGCAGTACCCATAGGAAAATATTTGGTACTTGTATACCTTAATAATGCATTAGAATTTAGAATCATAAAATCATCAAAGTTGGAGGAGACATCTAAGATCACCAAGTCCAACCATTAAACCTGTCACTGCTGTAATCCCATAACCCTAAACCAGATCTTCCAGTGTCAGATCCAGACACCTCTTAAACACTTCCAGGGATGGTGACTCCACCACCTCCCTGGGCAATATTCCAGTGCCTGGACACCCTAACAGGGAAAACATTTCTCCTAATATCTCATCAGACTCTGCCCTGTCTCAGCTTATGGCCATTCCCTCTCGTCCTCTCCCTGCAGCCATGGCAGGACAGATATCCCCCATCTCTCTACAACGCTGTAAGGGAGTTACAGAGCCATGAGGTCACCCCTGAGCCTCTTCTCAAGGCTAAACAAACCCAATTCCCTCAGCCCTTCCTCATACAACACGTTTTCCAGATTGATGATCCTCATTGTCCTTGGCTGGACCTGCTCTAGTGTCTCAGTGCCCTTTTTGCAGTGAGGGGCCCAAAGCTGAGCACAGCACTGAGGTGTGACCTCCCCAGTGCCCAGTGCAGGGGGATGAGCACTGCCCTAGTCCTGCTGCCACACTATTCTTGGCTCAGGCCAAGATGCCATTGGTCTTCTTGGCCACCTGTGCACACTGTTGGCTCATACTGAGCTGCAGCCACCAGCACTGCCAAGCCCCTTTCTCACAAACAGCTTTACACTAGGACCTGAATTTCCGTAAGAATTAACATTTCTAAAAGAAAAAAAGGTGTTCTTTGAAGACAAAAGTAGCAAATAGTCAGACTCAACTTCTGAAATAGTCTATAGAAACAAGATGAAGATGACTTGCTATTTGGATTTTGGATTGAATCAATAATCAAAGCTCTGCTACGAGAACATTGTCTAGTGAGAGATATCTCCACCCACAGAAGGTGAGGGTGAAACTACACGATTTTTATATCCCTTCCAAACCAAACTAGTCTATGATTCTATGTCTTTGGACATGAAGTGTTCAGAATATTAACACTGTTTTGTAAATCCCAAACCACAGGAAACATAAGTCACATTCTTTAACTGCTAAAGCACAACCTGGAAGTACAACATATATTTGAATTTAGTTCTTCAGGAAAATGGATTTATTCTGTCATACAACACCAGCAAACTCTTGTAACTCCAGCTCTCCAACTGAAGTCAATAAAGGAAGAATCTGATATAGCACCTATTTAACATGGCAGAAAAAGGAATGCTTTGAGATTCCATTTGCATCAAAACTGTCCTTACAAAATGCTTCCAACAGAACCAAAACATTTATTACTTAATATCTGCATATTAATTCTGAGTTATTACAGGAGTTCCAACAACTCCCACATCCCTTCAGAAAATTGAGTCAAGCATCATTTTTATCTTTACATAAAAAATGAGGGGAAAACAATGAAGCTTCTGGTTAGACAAATTTGTTAAACTACACCCTTGAAAGCCATGTTCTAGAACTTTACAGAAACTAACAGACAGATGATCATACAGAATGATTTACATACTTAAAATGAAGATCTTTGAAAGTAAAGTGAGTTTCCACTATTCCTGTAGTTTTCACTCTCGTCCTGAGAACGTCCTGTTGAGTTGGAATGTAGCTGGTTTGTGCTATCCTGTCCAAGTCATTCAAGTAACTAAAAGCAAAAATAAATACTGCTTTCAGTTATTCATAAAATAAATTACAAAGAATGACAAAAGCTCTAGGGCCATTCACTATAAAATAGTTTTCTCTCAGATAAGATAAAAACCCAAGAAGTTATTCCACTCAAATTTCCAAGTTTTTTCAAAACAAGCTGTACAGATACAATTATAGTTCATCCTAGATGAAAGAAAACATAAGTAATTTATTCCACTACAAAGAACTCTTCTTTGGAAATCCCAAAATGCAAACATGGTTCCGTGTACATCACCATTATTGGCACTAATTAAAAGAACACCTTCATCTTTGTAACCTACTGAACTACAAGTAACTTTGAACCACAAACAAAACCCAAAATTACCCTGGATGTAATAATACAGATAAAACTTCAATGTTTTGGCCAGAATGAATGTGTTTAAGAAAATGCCCAATATAAAACAATTAACTCTCCATTGAGAATTTCTAATTGCACACATTTTTTACAATAGCATGGCTGCATGGCCAAAATTCTTGCAATGTAGGCCAAGACCAGTGTTTTTAAGAACCATACAAATCTTACTTGTGCTTTTCCCATAGTAAATAGGGAAGGCACTGTGCTCTACTTTCTGTGTAACAAGAAGTTAGCAAATTGAAGAATACAATTGTATGGCTAAAAGAACAGTTTTCTTATGAAATTGGGGGCAGAGGTATCTAAAACCAACAGAACAGAACATGGGAGGTTACCAGAGGAGGTGAATCTCCAAGTAGAGTGCTCCATATTGAAGAAAGTTTATACAAGAAAGTGAGAAATTACTTCAAGCACTACAAATTATTTCAGAACTATAAAACTTTCAGAAACTGCACTATAAGGCAGTGTCACTGCTATGCCAATTATTTACCATCTTACCCCTCCCTGGGTGGACTCACTTCCTTGACTTACTGTTAATTGTTGTCACACCATCTCATTTCTGCCACCCTTAGGTTCTTTACTGTGTTTGTTTTTACTGAAGTGCCCTAACACAAAAGACACATCCTGACTGTTACCTTTGCTCAACAGGTTTGTAATAGAGACCATTAATTAACAAAGAAATGCAGCAATGCTGAACCACAGGAGAAACTCTGTTATGAAGATGAAAGTAGTATCCTTGGCAATACAGACTTGGATCACATAATCAAGTTTTCTAGACACAGATACTGATGAGGTCCTTGAGTAATGTTTCTGTAAAAAAAATGCTAGTAAAGCACCTTAAAGCAATTTTTGCCTTCTTTCAGAAGGTGAATCACCTGGTCAGAACATGACACAAGTTCATAACTATACCACACTTCTTCCTTTCCAACTCTGAAGCCTAGCTGCAGCATTTGGACCTAAGAAGACCATATTTTTGTCCAGATATTTCTACAGTTTCCATCTACATGGGAGCAGAATTCATCAAAAGATGACACTTACCTTACACTGCTTTAGCTACTACTTAGAAGACAAAGAGAATCTTGTCTGTCACACAGTACTTACTAGGCAGCAGAGTCGTTGAGCTGATATTCTCGAGATCTGTTGAAACAAGCTTGGACTCCACTGTCTTTCCACAGTCTCTTGATAACTCCAGCAAGCTCTGCAGTCATAAATCCTTCTTCTGCTGCTCCAGCCAACACAAAGAGCTGACGAGCATCATCCTACAGGATGCAAACACAAAGTCCAGAAACAAATATTGAGAGATGCAACAGAAGTGTTACCACCTAAGAACTACATTCAGCAAATGAGCTACTTGGCAAATCATCAAACAAGAAAACACAAAGGAAAAAAAGCAGTTTTAGCATTTGGCACAGGTTATTAATTCCTACATTTTTCAACAAAGACTAGTAAAACAAATTTCTCACTAGCTGATAAAGGGTTTTTTTCATCTGTTTATAACTTGCACTTAGTTTTTACAAACAGAAGTAGTAACATATTTTGTGCTCAAGACTAAAGTAAACTTTATTTGCTCATCAAATACCACCTACTGGATAAAATGGTTACAATGCAGACTAGACCCTTCAGAAATGCAGATGTATATTGACTGACTGAAGAAAACACACTAATCACTTAAGGTTCAAAAAGCAACTTTTGAAAGTGACAAAGGATCATTTCTTCTCAAATCATGCATCAGGAAATAGAAAAACACTTCTTAAAACCCTTCCAGATAAATCAGTTACAAATATCCATCACCTTCATTATTCTACAGAGATCCCATTTTCCTGGTAATGCAATATCAAGGTAACATCGAGATTTTTAAGAGCAAATCCTGGATTTTAAAACTGCATATAGTGACTGCCTTTGAGAGTGAGGCTAAGGGAGTACAGGAATCCACTATTCCTCTCTAACAGAATTTAACCAGTTGGTCAAATCCATCCAATTTTGACTGAGCAAAGAGACCTAAAAATATTAGCCCTGTAAGGCACTGGAAAAAGAAGAGAGCAGCTGGGAGAGGGAAGATCCACATTACTACTCTCCTCTGGGTAGCTGCTTGACCTTGGCTATTAGCAGTATGTGATCTACTGCCAAGGTACACCAGCCAGAAAAACCAGCATCCTTGAGGCTTGTAACTCCTACCCACAGCATGTACTGTTTGTCCAGTGATTAAAAGAGAGAGAACAATGAATCTGGAAAGAAGAAAGGAGAAAAGAGAGACTTAAGACACATCAGCTGAGAACTGAAAGCATTTCACGAAAGATGAGGATTTCAAAAAGCAACTACTGAGGTTATTCTCACAAAAGAGTAAGCGAAGACACGGATGCAAATCTGGAGAAAAATCTGTCACTTTGCTGTTCAAACACTAAGCTGTGGAAAAAAAAACATTCTCCAGATAAGCACGGAAAGTAGTGATTGTTCTAAAGATATTGTCTGCTGTTGGCTTAAATCATCAAAGATTATGAGAGCTAAGGGCAATTGTTTACAGATGGATTGAGTAATATTGAAATTCACAGGTTGGAAACACAAAGCTTGCAGTTCAGTCAGCTCAAGGCAAATTTGAAGAGATTTAAATTTATATATACATATGAAGAACAGATGCCAGACATGTAGCTGAATGTCTTTTGAAAGCAGGAGTAGCAAGAACTCTAAAAGAACATTTTTCAAACAAAAATACTGACTGCTGCAAGTACACAGGACAAATTGTGGACAACTAATGGAAATTCAGTGGATTGCACTAACAATGACTAAAAAAAACCTGAGCAGTAAAGATCAAAGGGACAGTCAGATCTCAGGGACTGTAATTTGAGGAACATGTTTGCATAAAAGAAACCTGACTGGCAATTCTGGTCTTGAATACGGTTTGTGGATGCAAATACAAGGATCTACCACTCACAGAAGCAGCAGGGCTTAAAGAAGACACAAGATATTCAGATACATGATGGAAACTGCCAATTTTGTCACAACAGATAATGCCATTTTATACCTATCATGGTCTGACTTTCAAACATGCAAAGTTTACTCTGTTTCAAACAGCTCTAATCTCTGTGCTCTAAAATGGAGGGGAAGGGAAAGGGAAGGTGGAACAAGAGAATTGAGTTCAGCTTTTTACAAGAAACATTAAAAATAAAAAGTGGTCTCTGTTACCCCTGTGCTCTCTTTTCTAAGGATGGCAACTACCAAACACCACAAGTGAAGCAGTACAAGTCCTGTTTTCATTACTAACCAACCCTAGATAATTTCCTTTAACTATATGGATGGGGCAGTTTCCTCTATAGGTGTCACACTTTTTATAACAGATTTCATAAACGACTTAATGTAAAAAACTAATGTAACCATCTAGCTAATTACAGCCAATCTCACATTCAGAAAGTGGTCCATAGTCTAATTCACATTCACTAAATGTCTCTCAGGACACAGTTTCTACTTAAGTACTGTCCTGTAGCACTAAGGAAGCTACACCAGGTTGAGACTGATCCTTCCTGAAGCTGCTGATGTAATCTGTGCTCCTGTCATTTGATAGCTTGAAACAAGACAAGGTTCAACTCACTGCTTTACCACGAAGTCTTATGACAGAAATAAGAGCCTATGATTTTCCAAACAAATTTATTCCACTTAAAGTAAAACTCTCAGAAACTCATCTTGGAATTTTAAGGAAAAGCATCTGAATGTAACAGAAGTTAGAACTTTGAGCACTTTTTTTCCCCAAAAAGGCAACAAAATTAAAACAAAACAGAATAAAATTGAAAAGAATTGAGGTGTAAACATACTTTTTCTTTTTTGTTGTTTTGTTTTAGAAGTGGGACTGATGTACAACAGAAGCTCTGAATTTCTATTTCTGGCCTTAAAATTGGCAAAAAAATTAGTACTGATGTTCCACAGCAATGTTACTCTGAAAACAAAAGAATTTGGACTACCAAGACCTGACTAAGTGCAAAGGGCTGCACAGCTATTTTAGGATTTAACCTGACACAAGTTTGCCTCATCATTTATACAGCTCTCTCAAGCTGAGAAACTCAGATGACTTCAAACTGACATCATGTATAACATAGCCCTCAAAATCTTCTTGTTAGTCATTTTTTCTGCTAACACCTAAATTTACTCCTCCTCCGTTTTCCCCTACTATGTATTTAGTAACACAAGTCTACCATCTGCCTCTTTCCTACATTAACTGCCAGACTCAGGAGAGGACTCCACTGCACAAACACTGAATTAACAAGCCATGAGATACTGTTGCTGCCCTAGAAAACTCTGGTCTTAAGGGCAGACTACAGCAAATATGAGAGCAAATGTAGAGAGGTACAACCAAGGAAAATGAAGCTTTTACTAGATCTGTTTACAACTGAAGAGACACCAGGTAGAATTAACATATGTACATTAAAAAAAAGGCTATCAAAGAGAACTGAAGAGACACCAGGTAGAATTAACGTATGTACATTAAAAAAAAAGGCTATCAAAGAGCAAAAAAAAAAAAAATTTATTAATTCCCAACTGCCAATCAGATTTAGACTTCAGATACAACTTTGTGACTCACTGTGCGTAATCTTCTGAATGTTTGTCTTCCTTATGACAGCCATACATAATGCATTTCACCAGGGTACTGAAGGAAAGCTCTCTAACAGTTATAAACTGCTTTTCAAGCAATCAATAACATCCTGAACACAAGACTGTCATGAATGAAGAATTTACATACCAACTCTTGTTTTTCAAGACTCTCCTCTCCTCCCAAGCTCGCGTTCCACATTAGTGATGGAAAGAACTTATGACAAAATATCATAGAATTTCAGAGTTGGAATGGATTTTACAGATCATCTAGTCCCAACCCCTGCCCTGGGCAGGGACACCTCCCACCAGAGCAGGTTGCTCAAGGCTCATCCAACCTGGCTGTGAACACTGCCAGGGTTGGGGTAGCCACCACATCCCTGGACAATCTGTTTCAATGTCTCATCACTCTTAAGAGTAAAAAGCCTTTTTCTGATATCTAACCTAGACTTTCTCTCCTTCAGTTTGAACCCATTATCCCTTGTCCTACCACAGCAGTTCCCAATAAAGTCCCTCTCTGGCTCCTTGTAGGCCCTTCAGATATTGAAAAGTTGCTCTGAGGTCTCCACGCAGTCTTCTCTTCCCCCTTATATACTTATTTTAGGACATGAACAGCAAAAACCCTTCCTCCACTTTTCCTCTGAGAGAGCCATAATGTGGTAAATTCCTGCTTCAAAACCCATACTGGTGAGCATTCCCTATTCCAACATTGATTTCTACAGAATGCAGATAAAAGTACACATCCTGAACTAAGTTCAACTGCTATTCAGACTAACAAATTGGGGATCAATTTCAGCACTGCAGCACAGAGTGTATTCCTGTATCCAGAGGACAAGCAAAAACACTTAAGGTAAGCATTTTACAGAGCTATTCCAAGCATCTAACCTCCTGAGCAGACAATCAACATAATCAGGGTCATCACAGGTAAGAGCATTGGGTTAGGACTAGAAAAATAAGCCAAAAGAATCGATCCTACAGATCAGCTTTAAACGGGTAGAATGGCAAATCATAGAATCATAAAGGGTGGGGGAAACCTCTAAGATCATAGAGTCCAACCATTAACCTGCCACTCTACTGGAACTCCTAAACCATATCCTCCAGCATCAGATCCAGATGCCTCTCAAGCAAATAAACCCACCAGAGGTTTGTATGTGGGGCATTAGATGAAATAAGATGGGAAAGGTGCAGAAAAGATTAGAAAAAAGTCTCTTACTTCTTGGGAAAAATCCCAAGATTGGTATCATGACAGAATGGGAGACCAGCAGCAGGTCTATACTCGTATCTCTCCTTTGAGTAAATTAAAGTCCTCAAGAATGGGAGACCAGCAGCAGGTCTATACCCATATATCTCCTTTGAGTAAATTAAAGTCCTCAGCACTGGAAATGAGTATGAGCAAGCTCAGAGGCTGGAACTGTTTCAGGCACCACTGTGGCTACCACCTAACAGAGAAGGGCAGACAGTAGCTAGATGCCTTCCTATTTAAGCTGTGCTTTTTATGGAACGTGAAGATGTCTAACTTAAATGACCTACAGAACACAACAGTCCATAAAAAGAGAGACATGACTGCATAGTTTAATGTTTTTGAAAATGACCTACAGAACACAACAGTCCATTAAACTATGCAGTCATGTCTCTCTATGTTTTTGAAAGCTCCCTAAGACTTGGATGTTCAGTTCTCCAAATTTAGGCAGAATTCAGAAAATTGTATCTAAACCAAATAGTTGTGAATCAATCCAGTGCTGCTTGCTCCACAGGTCACCTTGCCAGGGAAAGACCAATGGCATTTACTTTTCAATCAAACTTCGTATCCTACAAAGAAGATTTCTCGATAACAAGAGATTTTTTGAAAGCTCCCTAAGACTTGGATGTTCAGTTCTCCAAATTTAGGCAGAATTCAGAAAATTGTATCTAAACCAAATAGTTGTGAATCAATCCAGTGCTGCTTGCTCCACAGGTCACCTTGCCAGGGAAAGACCAATGGCATTTACTTTTCAATCAAACTTCGTATCCTACAAAGAAGATTTCTCGATAACAAGAGATTTTTTTTCAACTTCGTATCCTACAAAGAAGATTTCTCAATACCAAGAGATTTTTTTTCAGGAAATAGTACCAGACAGAAAGTGAAAATGAATGGATATTTCAGCACTATGTCATGTGTGTACTTCAATACTCACAGCCCTGACTGGATCACCAAAGTCTATCTTCAACCTCCCCATTGCTCTAATGATAGCAATAATGGACTGAATGGTGTTACTGTAGACAACAGCTTTGTACTGTTTACATTCTTCTTCTGAATAACCAGCTTCATGGATAATCCTGTGGAAGAAAAAAAGAGTAAATTCTCTATCCGAAGAAAAACAATATCCCTACATCCAAAGATTTCCCCATACTTACTTCATTTGCTTGACAATTGTGCTTTTCCCAGATTCACCAGCTCCTGAAAAAGAAATGTGTGAAAATTCATTAGAGTAGACTTTTATTCATCTTTAAAAATACATTTAGTTTCTACACTTTGAGTATCTAACCTATCTAAAAACTGTGACTAGGTAAAAGGACATTTGTTACAAATCAGTTTTGAGTATCGAAATGCACCTTGAGCTGGAAGTTTCCAAGTCAAGCCAAACTATTCAGGTCTAAACAAAAGTAAGCATAATCTTTACACAGTTTGCAGGTGCACCTAATGCAAACAGTTGATCAGTTGATCAACTGCAAAGGAGTCTGAAACTCAATTCCTCTGCCTTTTTAATCAAAACCTAACCAAAAACCTCCTTTGTGAGTTCTTCACACTGTATTAATGGTCTTCCGTGTTGTGAATTAACACCTTAAAAGTCTTCAGGGTTCCAGTCCCTGTAAACCTCTTTCAGCACTTGCAATAATAATTCCACAGTCAGTCTAGTTTTTGTTCAAACAGATTGCATGAGGTTTGCCAGTCATCCTGATGCAGTTCTTAGTGCTTAGCAAATTACAGAGGTGGGAGAAAAAAAAGCATAAAATACAAAGCTTACAAAACCAATTAGTATCTCTGTCAACAGACAAGGAAAAAAACACAGTTTTTGCTGTCTCAACAACCTATCTTTAGTCTGCTTCTTTCTCTGAATAAATTACAGAACTCTTAGAGCTGTGGTCTAAATCCCTTGAGACAGACACTCCTAGTTTGTGACTTGTGCTGAATTCTCCCTATTACAGTTCCTCATTTTCACTATAGCTTTGCAGAGGTGAGTATAATCTAATGCAAACCCATTGTTCAACTCCAATACAACCAAAGAAGACTCTGAGCACAAGAAGGCACTGACAAAGGCTGTACTCATCTCCAAAAAAGGGCAAGAAAGGGAACCTGAGGCATGACATAAACAGTCTCATCTTCATCTTCAGACTAACAATACAGTAAACAATCCTGGAAGTTATTTCCAAGCACATGGATGAAGTAAAGGTTATTGGGAATTGCCAACATGTGTTTATAAAGTACAAACTGCAGTTAACTTGATAACTTTTCCTGAGGGAACAGGTGTGTTTGAGGGTGAAGAACACCAAAGGATGCCATTTACTTTGATTCTAATAAGGCTACCAATGCCACCTCCCATGGCATCCTTGTACCCAATGGGATAAATATCAACTTCTGTGCATGAAAATCTGCCTAGACAGCCAGACTTAAAGGCCTGTGTCAATGCTTCAAAAATCTAAGTGGAAGTCATTTAGAAGAAGCAGTCTTCAGGAGATGATTCTGGGCTAATACAGTTTAGCATTTTCATCATTGACCTGAAACTGAGGGTGGAATGCATACACATCAAGTCTGCAGCTGACATCAGCCTGGAAGACCAAAAAGTGGTCACAGTGTTGGGGTGGGAAAGGTGCTATTCAGAGGATCTTCCACAAGCTAGAAGCCTGAGCTGACAGGAATCTCATGACAGTGAACAGAAACAATTGTGAAGCCCTGAAAGTGGCACAGAAGACCCATCCAACACATCATGGGATGGACAGGATTTGGGACGAATGGGTCAAGGAACAATCACGAAGCAAACAACTGTGGGGCTCAACAACATGAAGAGTCAGTAGTTGTGGTGATAAAGGTCAACCACATTGCAGGTTGTGTTTTGGATTTGTGGCCTGCTGACCACTGTTAATAACATACTGCTGGTTCTGCTACTGCTGAAAAATGCATGTGCAGCACCCAGGCATTTTCCCTTCACCAGCCTGTCCCCACCCCTAGGGAGTAGGCTAGGGGTGAACAAGATGTTCAGAAGAGACACAGGCAGGACAACTGACCCAAGTCAACCAAAGGGATATTCCATACAACATGATGCCATGCTCAGCAGTAAAAACTCAGGAAAGAAAGGAAGGAAGAGTAGTCATTTGTGGTTATGGTGTTTGTCTCAACCTTTGTTTAACTTTTGAAAGTGTGGTTATAGTGAAGGGTCTGGAGCATAAATCATGTGAGGAGAAGCTGAGGGAGCTGGGGTTGTTTGATCTGGAGAAGAGGACACTTGGGTGACCATAACACTCTCTACAACTACCTGAAAGGAAGTTGTAGTCAGGTGGGGATCAGTCTCTTTCCCATAGAGATAGGATGATAGTAAATGGCCTCAGGTTGCACCAGGCGAGGTTTAGATTGGCTGTTAGGAAGAACTTCTTTATGAAGAGGGTTGCCAAGCACTGGAACAGGCTGCCCAGGCAAGCAGTAGAGTCACCACCCCTGGAGAAACTTAAAAACATTGTAGATGTGGCACTTGGGGATGTTGGCAGAGCTGGGTTAACAGTTGGACTCGATGACATTATATTGATTGCCCAGAGAGGTTGTGAATCCTCCCTCACTGGAGGTATTCAAGAACTGTCTGGACACAATCCTGAGCCATGTGCTCTAGGGTGGCCCTGCTGGAGTAGGGAGGTTGGACCAGATGACCCATTGTGGTCCCTTCCAACCTAACTGATTCTGTGATAGGCCTTTTCCAACCTAAATGATTCTAGGGATTCTTTCCACACAACCACTATGCATGCTGAGGCCTGGCTTTCCAGGAAATGGCCAAACATCTGCCTCCCAGTGGGAAGCAGGGAATTAATTCTTTTTCTTTGCCTGTGTGTGCAAGCTTTGGCTTTCCCTATTAAAATGTCATTATCTTGATCCATGAGTCTTCTTGCCTTCCTGCTATTTTTAACTTATCCCAAGGGAGAGAAGAGTGTTCATTCAGCTGTGTGGGTGTTTGGATTGACCCTGGTCAACAGCTACTGCTGCTGCACTGGCAAAACTGCAGTCAACAACTCAAAGGAAGCTGTTCTTCCCCAGCAGTCAGCATTCATCATGCTGTATCCAAGTACTGCATATGGTTCTCTCCCTTGGTGTCTGGTAAATGAGATACTGATAAACTAGACAAAAACTAGTAGAAGGTCACTTAGTTGTTTAGAGGGCTGGTGCACATGGTGTTTAAAGAAAAGCTGCAAGGAACCAGGTTTTTTAATTCTAGAAACATGGGAGCTGTAGGTGAGGAAGAAGGTTGGATGTGTGGCTAATTGCTGTCCTCTCCATAAAACCCACTTAAGACAGCCTAAAACAGAACTGAAGATGACAGGCAATCAAGAACCTGCACCACAGGCAGTTTCACAGAGATAAAAGGGCGTGGGGTGGCACAGGGAACCTATTTCCATGGAAGATGGGAATTCTCTGTGATACATTAAGAACAGCATTGCCAGCAGGTGGAGGGAGGTGATCCTGCCTCTCTACTCAGCCCTCATGAGTTCACATCTGGAGTATTGTGCCCAGTTCTGTGCTCCTCAGGACAAGAGGAACATGGAGCTCCTCAAGCAGGTCCAGCAGAAGGCAACAAAGATGATTAAGGGACTGAAGCACCTCACTCATGAAGAAAGGCTGAGTGAGCTGGGCCAGTTCAGTCTCAGGAAGTGATGACTGAGAGGAACCTCATTAATGTATTCAAGTACATGAATGGGAAGTGCCAAGAGGATGGATCAGGCTCTGCTCACTTGTGGAAACCAATAAAACAAGACGGAACCAGCAAAAACTGATGCACAGGGAGTTCCACCTGAATATGAGGAAGAATTTCTTTCCTGTGCAGTCACTGAGCACTGAACAGATTGCCCAGAGAGGTCGTGGATTCTCCTCACTGGAAGTGTTCAAGAACTGTCTGGACACAACCCTGAGCCATGTGCTCTGGGGATGTCCCTATTGGAATAGGGAAGTTGAACAAGATGACCCAGTGTGGTCCCTTCCAAACAAACTGATTCTGTGAAGAGGTTGTATTGGAACCAGCAGTGCATAGAGGAAGCAGAAATTCAGCCTTGGAGATCTTTAAGATTCAAATGGACAAGGCTCTGAGCAATCTTATTTATTTATATCGGCCTTGAGCCAAGGGTTGAGCGAAATGACCTCTAGAGGTTTCTTCCAACTTATATATCATGTCATTATAACAGAATATTTTTATATTTGTATACTGTACAGTGATGCTTTTGGGATGTACTTCCTATTAAACCAAATATGTAGCTTCAGGGCAGGCTCAGGCCAATTTAAGACTGTCCTGACTCCTCCCCAGCACTGCTCATGTGGCTACACTTCCCTTCCTCCAACACAGCACCAACAGGAGCTAGTGAGCTCAATCAAGTAGCTGAGGAATAGAGTAGGCCTGTCAGCATCAATCTAAGATTGCTTAATGCCATCTTCAGCCAATGTCTATCAAAAGATTTGTGAGGGTTTTTTTGTAAATCTGCAAGTTTATACTCCATAGTTCTCATATTCTGAGCTGCCATGTAAGTACATTAATATCAACAGAAAACAGAGACACCAGTAAAAAAGTCATTTGCTAGTGAGACACCTGAAGCATTTATAAACCAGATGAACACTCAACCTGAAATACCTAATTTTTCACTTAAGCACAAATAGGTGACAAAAGTTTCAAGATTAGCTTTATTAATGAAATTACTATAAATAGCTTTGTTCAAATAATTTTAAGAAGGTATATACTCCTGAATTCAATTTTTAACATATTAAGAACTGTACTACAGCCTTTCATTTACATAACCTCATAAAGTGCTCTTTCCCCTAAAAACTCACCACATTTGACTAACCAAGCAGGTCAGTGCCAGAGCTAGTCACAGTATAAACATTTGGTTATTTTTTCATACACTTTCAACTCTGTTTCCCTGAGTCAGCTGTGCAGGTTCCTCTGTGGTGTTAGAATTCACACGTATCAAATACCTAGATTTATCACAAAAGCTCTCTCAGTAACATAACCACAAACACTCATCACACATATGAACAACAATTACGACATTTGTTAGAGTACCTAACATCAGCAGTGAGTTTCTGGACTGAAAGGGACATTCCCCTTTGTTATTTAATGGAAAATAGAAACCATTGTGTTCAGTTTGGGTTTTTCCTTTCACTGCAGGCTGAAATGCCTGCAGCTCTCCTAGGAATCTTTGCAAAGTA